ATACTGTATTAAAATGCTGGAAAGTTTCTTCCCTTAGTCCATAATTAATTGTCAAAGCGCACGTAAGACATGATTTACGTACTCATTTGCCAATTAAGTGCGTGTACGAGTAGTAAGTTGGCCGGCTCGGCAATCATTTTTGAAAACAGCCCGATTTTGCGCGTTACATAAGCGTTCCCCGCTAGGAACCGGTCCAAAGTGCCGGCCTGTGGCGCGGCCGGGCGAAGAAAGCTCCGATAGTACTCGTACTTGTTACACTTGCGCGCGCGCGTTTGCTCTCAGCTTGGCCGGTTTTTATTAGGGTGACCACAACTTTTAAGTTAATGATTAGGATTAACTTAATAATATATCATTTTTTTTAAGTAAATATGCTCTACTGGCTCTTCTTGTTTAATCAAGTTTTGTGGAGAGGAAATGCCAACCGCTGACAAAGGTCACCGCCACTTTTTAGCACCAGCCCATATTAAATTGTCCCGAAGTGGTGGCAGGGCTAGCTATATTTGGGACATGTACAATTACCCTGGAAACTGGAAAGGGCCTACTGAATAAATATTGAATATGATTTATGATTGATTATCTAGAAATGATAAATCAAAGCATTAATATTAAGTAAACATAATTTTATCGAGACTCTGACTCAACAAGGGCCGTGTATTTGGTGTGTGTATTCAATTTAAGGCTAAATCACGACCACCGGAAGTTGCTCAATTCGGGCAACAAACCAATGGACCTGCATAAACAACAGTAACATGCTGTTTGACCATAAATTGAGTCATTTGATTGAATAGCGCTATTGGCATACACGCCACCGGAACTGCCTATGGCTGCGTAACAATGGCTGAATTTAGGCGCAATTCGGAAATAGAGTACCTAAGCAAGGTAGTGTATGTAAAAAAAATGGTTTTCTATAAAAAACATATTAATTTCCTTCCGGTGACTTCAAAATAGTGACATCAACAACGTATTATATTTTATACAGAAAACGCGAGTTTTATGAAAAAAGTCTATGATTAAAATTTTATTGTGTGAGGTGAAATCGACCTAGCGACATTGTTGTTACCTACATTGTTTCGGAAATATTACATAAACAAATTCTAATTATTAGTAATTATTGTTTTTCAAACCACCATAATTTAGTTTAAAACAAAAGTAACTGTGGGAATCGGTCTCATTACCAATTATTTTAACAAGCATGTTGCATGTCTGTTGTGATTGGAGAACTCCACATCATGTATCTACTCAAAAGTAATTATATTTTAATTTCATTGTAACATTAAAATATTGTTGTATTGTTTATACAGTAGAATGATATTATATTTTCAATTATTCATTGTAACATCCATGCACTTCAATAGCTAACATTACAGACATCTGTCATTATTTCTTTTGATATTATGTCAATATCATCATACTCGTAGCTAAAAAAAAAGGTAGGTATTAGCTATTCCTAATATTATTTCATAACGTTGTAAATGCATGATGCATTTCATTAAGTAGTCATCATAAACGAATCATCTCCATTTTTGTTGATCCATTACCTATATGGAAAGGTAGCTTAAAAACAGAAATATAATATGTATACCTATGATCAAGTAAATAATGATTCCAAGCGTGCAAAGTTGTGGGCAACATCTCATTTCATTTCAATTCATGGCAACCACAGACCACAATAGCACGACCACAGACTTCGACCTCAAGTAGTAAGTACCTACCTACACTACACTTAATACTAAACTATATAAAATAGGTACTTATCTATTGTTTCATCTTATAAATTTTAATTAAATAAATAAATAAAATAGGTAGGTAAGTAGGTACTTTTTGTGGCAAAATTTAGGTATTTTATTATGAGCTATTTCAGCCGATACTTTAAAGGCCAGCTATAAAAACCATTATTAAACTTTAATACTCGTATCTCGTACTATAAAGCAAATCAAACATTACAAATAAATGACGAAAGAAAAAGCGGTAACATTTTCGTTTAGAACGAGTCTGGATGAATTTTACTGTAAAAAAAATCAGCGTATTTCAAACGCTATTTTTGCTTCAAACCTGCACAGACTACCTGTTTCCCTCTTCACGCATGGCAGGACTCGGGGCTTAAAAGTTCCAAAGAATTAATCTGAAAAAATAAAGTCCTATGGAGGTACAGTCGACAGTGCATCAGTCTGTTTTTGTCGCAAAATCGCTCCTTATTGCAACGGTCTATGATGTCGTAGAGATCAGTTATACATATGTGCCGTACCTATTTACAACTAAACCGGTTAGAAAATTAAGTTGGTTTCCGTTCTTGACCCAAAGTATGGTCACCGTACAAGATAACGGAAGCATGCAAACTCAAGTTCAACACGTGGTCGCTACGCACCATTCTCTCGGTTTCGGCTTTTAATTATCACAGTGTATGCGGTGATTAAGTGCGGTCCTTACATAACTAGCCTCAGTTGGATGTGGTCCGTGGTTTGCCCCCGGTAATTTTGCGCCCTATAATGTTGTGTAATTTTTTTGTAACCGCTCTACCTAAATACGTGCTAGTTCGGTAATTAACATCATTTTATTCAACCGACTTGAGTAATTTTTCCGTATTTTTGTAGGTACCCACTACGTAGTTACACAATTTTATGCTTACCTAGTAGGACATGTTCGGAGATGTTTCGAAGATTCAAGCAACGGAAAATGCTTGTGTTGTGTAGGTAGTAAACATGGGCTTTTTGGAGGAGTCTTTCATGTTTATTAATAGATTTATACATACATTTATCTTACCATTGCGTCTTAATCCCATATTGCGATGTTGGCGACTTTATTTCCACGTTTACTTTTTTTAACCTTAGGTGCCCTCTTTGCCTCGTGCATTGGCTTGATCAACCTCCGGCGTCCTCTACTGGGGCCTTTGTCATTGTTCGACCGGATCGACGGCCTAACCGGCTTAACTATAGGTACCCATGACTATACCTATCTACATTTCGCAGCTTCAGCTTCGTTTCTTCTTTTCGGCGAATAGGATGATTTTGGCCTAGTTACCATATTACTTTAACTTTCTCAGACGTGAAATATCTGTCAAACTCCATACAAAAAGCACCGGATAATGTTATAGTTATCGTTAAAATAAGGTAGTGCAACTCAGTCTTAAACTACTATAATAAAGGAGCACCGTTCCTAATACTATAATCTAAATGTCTCTGGACATTTTTCTAGACCCAAACTAAGCAAAATTTTTAGAACTATGGGTACCTACTAGATAACGTACATACAGATATACATATAGTTACAACTTACTTTATAAGTAGGTACTTTACATTAGTAAAATCGTAAGCTTAAAATATGAGATGACCCATAATTTGCTGATAAATAATAGACCATAAAATGTTTATTCATTGTTGAAAAAACATGTTAGGTACCTACTAGACGATAGTTTAAGTGTTACAGTATAACGACTGGTCGCTAATCAGTAGAAACCGGAGTAGGTACATTTGCATTATGCATTTTGCAAATTAAGCCCATTCTCATCGGTTATTGCATATTTTACGTAAAAGCTAGACTGTGATGATGATGCATATTTTCGCTTTACTGACAATATTAGATTGATGGAAACTTTATGAGAGCCATAACATAAAAGAAGTGCAAACAGCCAGTTTCGGGCTTCAAAGAATACCTACCATTGAGAGCATCCAGAATACCAATTAAGTAGTTATGTCAAAGGTACCTACTTATATTACTACCATAGTAAGTAAGTACTACTTACATTAATTTCTTGAGCCGAGTAATTAAAAAATACTCAAGGTATTAGGATGAATTTTTTATTTGTTTATCTTTATATTAAAGAAATCTTTAAAATGTACTGTAAGTACCTATTTCATTATAAATTCTAAAAATCCTGAGATTTACAAAACCTGCCGTAATCCTGAAAAGATTCCAAAAATCCTAAAATCTCAGGACAAATCCTGAGATAAATGGTAGCCCTAGCTTTAACCTTCACCTTAATCTCGCAAAAATCAAGTGTCTTGTCACCCTCTCCCAAATACGGCAATCAAGACTCATCTCATGACGTATCAAAGATCAATAAGTGATTAGTAGTAAGTAATGCTTATAAAGCTAGATTTTATCCTTCCAAAACCTTAAGCCAGCCCTAACTTAAAAGTACAAAACTTATTACCTTCCTTTTTACAACGTGTAGGTATGATCTAAAATAGATAACTACTACTTACTTTTCAGGGAGTTGTTTCCACTACAATCACACACATTACTTTATTAAGTACCTACCTACCTACATACTTACTTTTACCTACTTTAAAACAAGCGCCTGGGGAGTAATCACAAGCAAGACGACATAACTCTACTTCGCTATTGTTGCGTAAAAATAACGATATAAAAATAACGCAACGTTAAAAATAATCTGTGGTTAATAAAAAACATCTTTAGATTTGCTTGAGTTTCAGAAACCACTAAGTCTAATTTATTGTAATTTAAAATTTTTATTATCAACTTCATCATGTTAATATTCTGTGTAATTCGGCTTTTATCTAGCAGATTCTTTGCAAGTATTTTCCGGTAAAAATTAATAGAAACTGCCAAATAGCAAACAGACTTTAAACTGTGCGTGTTACTTTCTAAAAAAAATATACCATATTTTTTTACAATAATAAATTATCTATTTCCATGATGATAATATTATACTTAATTTCTTGTTTTATCTTAATGTCGTCTACTGCTGGGCTGGGCCATCCAAAGCTGCCCATATCCAGGTGATTCGATTCTTACTTTAAGAGCTTTCATGTTATCTGTTCTTTATGATTGACAATTTATTGTTATCACAAAATTAGTCTCTTAGCCTAATTTCTTAACAAAAGAACGAGGAGCTTTAAATTAATAGTTTTTAGCATTATTAAAAAAAACAATAAGAGTGTAATTATTTGTAAAATATCGAACTTAATGGCCTTTGGATTTGAACCATGTATTTGTCAGTTTGACATTGACATTGACATTGATGTATTTCCAACCAAACGGCAAAATAGTAAAATCTGTGCTCCACTCAGTTTCAGACTGTATTTAAAGATTTTTAGTGTTAAAACTAGATAAACAACTCTAGAAGTAATTCTTAGACAAACAAATTATTGAATATTAATATTGCGTCGCTGTAATTCAACGACCTTCAATAAGCATAAGGCGTTCTGAAGTACAAAATAAGGTTAACCTTAAAATATCTTACAGCTGATTGTGTATTACTGTTATTACAGTGGATGAAAGTTTCAAAAATGTGTAATAAAGGAGCTGCAGTTGCTGAATTATTTGCAAAAGCCATAGCTTCCACAAAAGGATTTGACAGCAATCTTCGAAAGGTAAAAAATTGCATTAAAAATAATCAATTCTTACATAACAAGAAAACCTTAGATCTTGATTAAATACACTTTTATTATATTCTAAATACCATAAATTCCTGCATTAGCACTGTTTTTTATAAACTATGTTTGTTTTTCTTTCAGTTAAAGGTGGTAAGCTGTGGAAATGGCAAGATGGTTACAGAATTCAAAGTAGGGCCAGAACACCTTAACCAAAGAGGCACCCTTCACGGAGGATTTATATCTCACCTGGTCGATGCTATCTCTACATATGCTCTGACTACCAATGACACTATAGAGACCAGGGGGGTATCTATTGACTTAAGTGTAACGTAAGTAGCTTATGTTTTATATTATTATGATGATGGTTTGGCAATGAAATGGATACTTTATTTAATTTAGCAAACTCCAGTCTCCATCAACCAATTTTGGTTTACATTTGATAGCTGGGTAATTTTTTTAATGGAAATATTTTGTACCTACCTATCACATTTGCTTTATTTGAAAAAAGACAGCCTAATTTACACTCTGTTCATTTGTCACAAGTAAAGTCCTAATTTTCCTCTATTTATAGTAACTATACACTGGATTTTTTTATACTGCTCCATCTAAAAGATACTTAATAATTTATTTCTCTTTTTTTTTCTAATTTTGAATTAATTCTCCTATTGTTTAGAGAAATTACTGATAAAGTCTACCATGTTGTTCCAGGTTTATGAGTGCAGCAAGGGAAGGTGACAATATTGAAGTAGAAGCTGTGACTAGAAAAACTGGGAAAAAAATAGCATTCCTGGAAGTTGAAGTGCGCAATAAAGACAAAAATGTGGTTCTAGCAACAGGACGGCACACAAAGTATATAGGAATTTAAGTAATATTTTAAAATAAATGTACTGTAATTGTAATTTATGTAATTAAATGTTGATGTATCAACAACCTTTCAAATCATTGAATATACAGGTAGATATTAGTTAGCCAAAGATAAAGTACAAATATAGGTGCACTGGTAGAACTCTGTGTACTTTTAAGTAATACAAATTCATTCCTTTAATAAAGTTTTTTTGTTGAAATAAAACACCAATTTGTATTTTTTCATTTATTTTTTTCACATCGATACACAGAAGGGTGGTCCCATTATTACATGCAGAATTGACATATAGGGTCAAATCTATATAAATAAAAATGAATTGTTGTTCGTTAGTCTGGGCCGTTTGAGTTGATTTTGGTTTTAAAGTGTTTGTCGTAGTCCAGGGTAGGTCTAAACGGTGAGCAAATAAGGAAAAATTGCGATGGCTTATTTATTGCCTTTAAGGCGGAACAGAGTTCGCGGGGTCAGCTAGTATAAGAATATAAATCAAATTCATTCATCCAAAACATTGCCTACAAAAAGTTCTTTTAGAGGCTTTTTCCTAATAATTTAGATTTTTTTTAGTTTTAATCAAACATTGATGTTTTATCAATATGAAGCTATTCATTTCAAACAGTTAAATATTCATATTTTATGACTTCCAGTGAAAATGAATTTGGTTTCCAGTTAAAATGTTTTGTTAAGGATGTACTATGAGTAATAGGATTTGGGACTTATCAATTTTTACATAAATGTTTTTTGGAAAACCAAAATGTTGTTTATTTTTAAAGCCAAAACTCTTAATTTGTCCTACAATCATGATATCAAATTATTATTGTAATCAATCAATCTATGGGGAGTCTTATTTGTTTAATGTGTATATTTAATTTTGTGAAAAATCATGAAAATATTGCCGAATCTGCGCGTAAAAATGGTTCACAAACATTCATAAAATGCTTAGTGCGCAAAGTAAGATAATAGAATTAGAACATAACATACAATACGAGTATTATAAATAGACTTTAAACAATATTAGAATGAATTCACTTAAAAATAGTATAAGTTGGTATAAGTCTAAATTGAAATGTAAGTTGAAATGCCAAACGTTAGAAAATTCTTCATTATAAATTATTAAAACAATTTAATCGCTCCATATCAATAAGACGTGATCCATCTTTTCTAAGTAATTAATGCCATTTAAGTATTCAGGAAATTCACTGCTTACCTACTTGGGTGCCTGTACCAAAGCCTTTTTAACATGTATCGGATCAATTACAAATCAATATGGAATAACAGATCTTACAACGACAATACATCAAGATATGTGAACACTGAGAACACCAGTAAAACTTCTACAGACATCGATTTTACAACACTTACTTAGAACTTTTGCAAATAATGCCTGGCCAGACTGGAAATGCTGGCGCGAAATTCAACCAACTGGAACGTAAGTCGTCTTTTATCCGCGGAGTTACTTCGAAAAACGTTATCCGAAGTTTCGATTGTTGCCAGCCTTCTCCGGTAAAGCAAGATGCCCGCATGTGCGACCGTGACAGATTCGAAACACCCCGAAACTACGTAAACAGCATTTTGCAGTAGATTTTCTATACTTGGTGGCCAAACGTGAAATCTGTAGCGTGTGGTACGAGCGGCCTATTTGACGGCAATAGCAACAGGTGAATAAGTAACGTAGCGCTACAAAGGTTCGTTCATACAGTAGCCGGAATAAGTACGCGTGCCGTTAGCTCCCAGTCTGGCCAAGCACTCATCCCCTTATTCAAACAACTTTAAAACAGTTCCATAATGCAGTTTTCGCTATTAAATGCCATGAAACACTCCGATTTCGCTGCGATGAAAACAGACACTCTTAAACACTGTCGTTTTAGTTATAACTGCGTTATGAAACTGTTACATTTTGTATGAATCAGGGGATGAAAGTATTAAAATTGAAACGTCCACAAATATCCTGGTTACAACACTTAGAATATTTAAACACCGAGAATAATGATATTGAAATTGAAATCCTACAGACATCGATCGGTTGCGTGAACGCCAAGATTTTTTCAGGCGCCGTAGACACGGTTTACGAGCTGCTCAACTTGACCTGACCTCAAACCTGACCGTGCTTGCTAAACTTACTTAATTGCGATTATTTTGCTTCATAACAAAACGTACACAATATTCCGATGCATGAAACGTTCAGCGCTTGAAAAAACCGTTATGTGCACGCACCTTGAGGTCCTATAAAGGTACACTGCGACATTTTGCAGTAATGCTACGATGCAGCAGTCGCACGGTATCGCTGCAAAAACTCGCAGTGTATAAAAGGCCTAAGGAAAATAATTGTAAATATTCATAAAAAATACCTACTTCCTTATTCATAAAAATTAAAACACATGAATGAACATTTAAGTTTGATCTTTCATCGTTGATAGACAAGTAATCATTTATCTAAAACGGTGTCATACTCATAATTAAAAGCGCAGTTAATTTTTATGAGTAAGGTCAGTAGAAACCATTAGATATAATTGAATTCACTCACGTCGTCTTACAACATTTATAACTTCATAAAATACACAGAATGTCGATAAAATTGTAATTTATATGTCGATATTATTATAATTCTAATAAGCACTGAGAATGTATAATAATTGAAATATTAAACTAGTGCCTACTAATACCTATCAAAAAAAAAATAATCACGCGTTGAACACCTGTTTAGAATGTCATTCCCATTAACTAGTGATCAACGCGCGTTTAACTTTTTGTGGTAACGTGGTAGAGTCACTCGCAGTAACGTTCTTAAATCAACTTTAATCTTCATAAAAATATGAAGTCGTTTGAAACAGACTGATATTTTGAACTTATTGAAGATTTAATTTGATTTATAAACGTTACTACAAGTACCTAGCCCTTAGATCTGTGTAACACTTATAATGTCACAAAAAAAATCCCACATCGTCAATCTATTACTTATACCTAGAACTAGAATACGATTAAAATTGAAATTCTACAGGCATCTTACAATCAAAAGAATACCATAAAATTGAAACTTCAACCGGCTTAATATTTGGTATGTATGTCACTGGTCAAACTGTGTTGCATGGCATAATATCATATCAACACAGTACTGTAAACACAATCGTCAAAGATGTTAGATACTTACATTCTTGCAAAAATGAATTTGACCACAGACATACTTACCACCTTTACATGTGAACACAGAGAATATCATCAAAATTCTATTTTCTACGGACAAAAATCTTATGTCACCTAGATGATAATAGCACAATATGACGTGCCCCAAATAACAGCTAAAGAGTACAATGTACATATTTAGTTTGCATTCAAATGTCCATGTTAATTTATATCCATAGTTAAGTGGTCCATCCATAAAGTTCTGCATATCGGATCCATCACATCGTCATCATCAGCAGCATATCAACCTCACTTCACCATCACTTAATAGATTATTACATCTAAGTTAGAATTAGAATCAACTACACCTTTAACACTTACTTTAATTAACTATTTTATTAGACTAGATTAATTTGTTTCTACTTCACCTACATCGCTTAAATTATGTGACTACATACTTATATTTTATATGGAATCAATTGTGTTGAAATAGAAAGATGACATAACTTATAATAAAACATATAGGAGTAGATAATGATGGTTCAGGATTGCAGGATTATTTATTGTGAAAGGGCCTTGTAGATACTTACAATTATAGAAAAGAAATACTAAGTACAAAAGGGAATCAATAATTATGGCATATTATGACTTAATCTAAAGATAACTTCCTTATAATTATAATAAAATCTTACATTCCTATTGATTAAGTAATTGATTAACATAGACATCTAGATTTTCAAAAAGTGCTATTTAGTAGGTACATAATGTTACATCCATTATGCATGCATGAATGGTTTGCATTAGTAGAATTATTCAATCTGCCATCGTGGCACTTTAAATTGAACTTCTAATCCCGTTTGCAAGTTTCTTCCAGGTATTCAATGCGCTTCTTAAGAGAGTCCAGGGTGGCTGCGAGGTCGTACTGAGAGGATTCCAATTTGTCTACGCGTTCGTCAGTATAGTCGGTGCTAGCCTCTTCGCCTCCTAAGATGTCAAGATCTCTACGTGCGCGGCGTTTATTCCTTTCAATTTCATTCTCAGCACACGTTTCGCAATCTACCCAGAATCGAAGATCCATTGCCGGCAGGTCATCGCATGAAATAAGTCCATCTTGTAATTCCGGAAGCAAAAATACATTTTCTGCGATAGTGTCGATATTGTCGCCATTGTCACACAAAATACGCGCGAGACTCGTTTTCTTGATCTCTTTCAGCTGGTCAGGTTTGAACATAGCAGGGTTTTCGTACCACAATCGGTCACCATCTCGCGAGCGTTGGAACTGTTCCAAGAGCAGGCATTTAAACAGTGGGCCAACTTTACCACCTTCAACTTGCTCCTCGAGGACCCCTCCGACCCAAACATCGATATTGTGCACCGATCCATACAATTTCTGGAGTTTATCACGAATGCCCTTATCCGGAATTTCCGTTGCCAAATCGTCGAAAGATTCTACTTCGGTCATGTTGCAGAACTGTCGCCACTTCGTATACGGGGGAATAGCGTGGTCCCGGCCTCTTTGAATGTTAATCGCAGCCAAATCAAGAGCAACAGCATGAGTAGCATAGAAGAGTTTCTCAGTGAGTTCAGAATTCAGATTTTGGGTTGGTGTTTTAAGCTTGGCGGGAGTCATAAACATTCCACGTAGTAATGGGTCAACGCCACCCTCATCAACTAGACGCCAGGGGGAGAAAAATGCATCGCGCAGTTTTAGGTTACCTTGAGGAATAGTTTCGAAGTTTTCATCTAAGCGGTGCAGAATAGGATTGATCATAGTATGGCCAAATCTTAGTGCAGCTGTAGCAAATACGTTAGAAATCGAAGGATTAACGTCAGAATCATAACCGTTATAAGACCCTAACTGTTCATACCCATCCGGACCGAGAATGATGGGTAGCCAATGCGTGTAAGTTATATGTTGGATTTGAGCACCGATTACTTTTCGTGCTTCATGGTACACTTTATCGCCATCCCAGAACGGATTGAGGGCCTTAAGCTGACTAGCGATTCGGTTATGTTCTCGCATCCAAATAGTATGCATAGCAGCTAGACCAATCTGTTCATTAGCTCGAATATCACCAGCAACAAAACAGTTACGGTTACTTTCTTCGAGGTTCCGTCTACAATCCATAGCATTGATACCAATAGTAGGTAAAAGTGGCTTCTTTCCGGGAAAAGTAGCACCCACGCGGAGTAATCCATTGTCATTTGTTAAGTCACGCAGATCTTCAGCAACACTTATTTCAAATCCATAAACCTGAGATGCGTCGATAAACGAAGTCAATTGGTTGATTTGTTCTCGAGGCTGGAGTCGTCCAAAGAGTACTGAAGTCGCCCCAGATCCGCAAACCGCACTTGTTCTAATAAAATCAATGCATCGCCGATTGCTGATTCTGGGATCATTGGGTGGAACATCGATTGGGAAGCATGGAGCTGCGTAGTCGCAAGTTTTTTTGCAATCAACGCCGTCCCACGTCTGTGAACTCACTGACGGTAAAGCATGATCAAGATCGTGATCCAGCCATTGTCCCCACTGCATCACCATATGGGATACTTCAACATCTTGTGAAATTTCAGTCGTGGTAATTATTTCGGTGGATATTAATCGAGCCACTGGAAGAGTAAATCCGTTATATTTTCTGTCCTTATTCCATCCAACGGGCTGGCTGAATCCATTTTCATAGATAGGAAACAGAATTCTTCGGAATCCAGTCAATGAGGCTCCCCACATTGGATTCGCAAAATTGTTACAACCTCCATCGATACTGCGATATTTACTATGGAAGCACATATCAGAACAGTCTCGTTTCTCTCTATGTGCTACACATCCAGATAAACGCGCTATTATCTCTAGGTGATCACCGGATAATACATTTTCATAATGAAATGGATCTGCCGAAGTAACTGAAAGACCGACTTCTATATATCCTTTTACTTTGTCAAGAGTTCTCTCATATATTTCTGCAGCGCGAGCTATTTCTCTTTCGGGTGCATTAGGGAATCTAGTGATTCTATACAAGTCACTTATGGTTGAGACAGAAGTTTTCTTGGTAAATATCTCATCTACAGTTCTAGCAATGGCCTGATCAACCTCTCTGGTTGCTTGAGTTATAGCGATGTTAACATACTCATCCCCAGGAAGTATGTGGTTTTTAACAGTCAAAAACACAGAAGCAGTATCATGTCCATATTCATTAAAAGCATGACATTCATACCGACCGGTATCGGATACAGAGAGATTTTTAATAATCAAACTTCCAATTAATGTGATTGAGATTCGATCATCCAGAGTTAATCGTGAACCATCTTTACTCCATTCGATTGTTGCAGGTGGTTCGCTTTCAATCTCACATGGCATTTGCACTGCCGTGCCCTTAAATGCATCGCCATCTTCAGGTTTTAGAAGAATACGTGGAGGAATAACTTTAAATTCCTCTATCTTAAGGATAGCCGATATTTCGGTGAGTCCTTCGGCATTTTCGGCTCGGCAGTGATAAATACCACCGTCGTCATTTGTTACTTCAAGAATAGTTAGGGTTTCGTTGTCATTGGTCAAAAGTATATTTGGACTTGCTTCCAAATCTAAAGTGTTTCTGTACCAGGTGATATTTGGTTTAGGGTGTCCTCGTGCCTTGCAGGTAAAATTCACGCTATCTCCGACAACTGCTTGGACATCTTTAGGTACCGTAATAAACGCAGGTGTAGCTGAAACAATATATTCAAGTGTAATGAAAATAAAAATATGAAATAAAAAGCTAAGAGAACTTATAAAACTTTTAAACTTACTCATAATTTGAAGAACAGCAGAAGTCGCAATTCTTCCATTGATGTTTTCAGCAATACAGGTGTACGTTCCTGCGTCTTCCATTTGTATATTGTGAATTAATATAGTACCATTCTTTTCAATTGTTAAACGCTCACTTAGTAGCAATCGGTCGTTGTCAAATAGCCAATAAACATGAGGAGAAGGTTCACCAGCTGCCATGCAATCAAAGCTTACAAACGGCTCTCGAAGTTTGACGAGTCTCTCATTAGGTAAAGCTGTAAAATACGGTTCATCTGCAACAAAAAAAGGGTAGAATTATCGGATAATAATAAGATTATTTAACTGTTTATATTTTAATGAAAGATATTTACTGGCTTTGGGCTGGATGGTCATACGAGCTGGTTTCGATCGGGCTTCTCCGTTAGCATTTTTGGCCATGCATTCAAAAATGCCGACATCTTTTTCGTCAATTCCGTGGACTTTCAGAGTTCCATTGTCCATTAATTCGTATCGGGGTGCATTCACAGGTAGAGCCACAGAGTCACGGAACCAAACGATTTCAGGTGTTGGGTCGCCGCTGGCCACACATTTGAAGACTGCATTGTCACCAAAGTCCACAATTACATCCTCTGGATCAGTTCGAATTTCAGGGAGTTCTGAAAAAAAGTTCACCAGTCAATAAAATTATCTAGTATGTAATAAACATTTTATAAATAACTAATCAAAGATAGAAGACTAACGCCCGTATTTACAAACATTACTATGAGGACTCACAGCGCGCGTGGACTCACAGCGTCACACACGTACCAATCACAGAGCTCTCTTCAACGCTGTGCATTCGATTTGCTGCTTCACTTAAGCAAGCATCGTTTGTGAATACGGGTGTAAGAAGTAACGAAAAATACGTTTTAGATACCCTTACTTTCAGGCTGTTAACTTATTAGTGATAAAACTTTCAGTTATTTTAGTGAACAAGGCGTTACTCACTGCAGTGGAAGTCCTCAACTTTCATAGTGGACAATGATGCGCCGGTGGCATAGTCAGGTCCGTAGCACGTCGCCAGGATGTTCATGTCGCTGTGTTCTGAGAGCATCTTCACGAACCACACCATAGAACAGTCGCAGATCAGAGCGTTGCTGTCCAGGCGCAGTTTGTGGAGTTTGGGCATACCGGCGAACGCGCCAACCGGGATTGTCTTCAGCTGGTTGTTGTGCAGATACCTAAAAGTTGGTGTCAGTTTTTAGGCCTTACTTAAAACTACGTGCAATACGCCACTTCAATCAAGTATATTGCTGAGTTTTAGTAATGGCGTAAATAGGTACGTGTAAGTATACGGAAAATTGTCCAAGTCGAAGCGCTAGCACGCACACCGTAGTATGGGCGACGCACGGCCCCATCCGAAAGAGAAACTAACCGAGATGGTGTTCACACTATTACGTCTTGGCCAATTTCCCGCATAGTGTACTTGTGCCGTATTTTAACTAAAATAAAGTTAGGAACTTACAATCTTTCCAATCGTGGCATGTTCGAAAACGTATCCGGTGCGATCTCATGAATTTCATTGACATGTAAATATCTGAAAATTGTAAGAAACGATGAAAATAAAATAAAATTCAAAAAAATGAAAATTAACTAAGAGCTTTATAAAAATCATCATTTGTATTTTCCTTTCCTTTCTTTTACTAATCTGATCAATCATCAATGATAATGATGTGTCATCATCCGCTCAGTGACACTCTCTTCTCACAATCCGTGGTCCATTCATCTGATCATCATCCCTGCCATTCATCTAAACATCATCCATCCACTAACTTTGAGACTTTCCGTTATCATCACTTTTCATCGCAAGATACCATAAAAACTTTCTGAGATTTATTCTTGACTTAGTCCATTCTCGTTACTCTAAAGTTTTAAAGCTTTTTGGTGTTTTACACTAGGTAAATACCTAACTTCTGATCACAGTTTCACCTCCGTATGATAAGTTGTTTCAGTTTTAGTTACAGAAAGTTGATTTTAACCACTTCTTGTTGTTGGCGAGTTAAAGTTGAACCACTTGTGTTTTCTCAAAAGTATAGGTATATAATAATTCCAAATCCCCAACTTGGGAAAATATTTTTTTGTAGACTCGAACGTATTTACTGAAGCAAAATATTTTAGACAAAACCTCTTATTAAATAATCACTTAAATCTGTTCAAATCAATTTTATTTTCAGTCGCTAGGTGTGTTAAGTTTCATGATACTTCATCATCTCACAATTCAGTGTTCTTACTATAACTTACACTATAAATAACAACAAAGTTCACCTTTAATATCGAATCGAAGCGCTTGGTAATATAATTATAAAAAGATTATCAAATTATATTTTATTTTGAAGTAAAAAACTGTTATGAATTGCTGAAAATATTTTAATGAGAAATTAACGGTTTATTGCATTTTCTGCCTTGACCACTGAATTAATTTCGAAAACGCATATTTTGATTTTTTGATTTTGATTTTGACGAAAATTAATTTACCTTTTAAGATATTAATAACATAATTTAAAGTAAGATATTAAACTCCATTGAAAATGTATTCAAAATTTATAAGTACATGAAATGAGCTTTTATTTACACAAAATCATTTGTATGAAACGAAAATGATGGATTTTATTAGAATACCTAGGTACCACGCGAACTTTTTTTAGTAGGCAAGTAAGTATTTTGTATAGTGTGTAAACTTTATAAGAAAAGTAAGTTAATCTTAATTAATCCATGAAACTACGACACCAGACAGCGATATATAGGTACCTACTGAAAACTGGACTGCAGCAGCAGCGACGAAAAAAATACAACCCGTAAAAAATACAGCAAATCCGGAACTGCACTGCATACAAAAGCGTCGAAGTCGACAAGTTAATTAATAAGGAATCCGGGATTTATCCACGTGCTTTCGGTGTCACTCCCAAAGAAAAAGTTGTTGTTTATCACCAGATTTTCAGTGAACAACTGAAATCCGTGACGACAAAGAATTTTCACTACTTTATTACAAGGAGGCTATTTGTAAAATGCATTATTTTGTTTTCAACTGATTAAAGGCTTTAACTTTGAAACAGCCGCATGTTTATGGCATGGAAGCAATACCTAATGGAGTGACACGTGAGGCACTAAGTACATGAAACTTAGAGCAACCTTAAGTTTGTATCACACTAAAACACATTTGCGAGAGAGTGCAAAGATAGACAAGATTGTTAAGCGATGTAAAATTTCTGGGAAATTTTGAATGGAAAGTGGCTACGAGTATTGAATGGCTGTCATAAAATATTGGGAGGCGATTTATGATATTATGCATGAGTTACAAATTCTTGGTAACATTTGCAGTAGGTAAAGCTACAGTTTTCGAGGTAACAAAGGTATTTAAAGCTAAAGAAACATATATTCCAAATTGAGGAAGCTGAGAACTCGCCGCTCACAATTTGACGACATCGTTGCGAGCTCGCGGCGTTTTTGCTACGGTCTTGTTTTGAACTCTATCGCAAACTAGTGTGATACAGCTCTTAATCCCCTGTCAGACTGTTTCAACTGTGTTTTCAGTCATTTGACCTAGCAAACATTTTGCTACTAGATGAACTAAGTTCATCATATTATTATTTGTTTTTATGTATACCTACCTAAGTAGTGAGTTTATGTTATGGCAAGTAGAAGGTATTTATTGCCATTAATAACAACGTAGGTAAACTTAAACATTGAAGTAATTTGTTAACTTCAATTTACATAAAAATAAAATAAATAAATAAAGTTCTTTATTCTTGTCAATAAGCAGATGTTTTGTAAATAGTAAACAAGAAAGCGCTTGCAATTTGACCTGCCTTTATAAAACAACCAGCATTTACAATCATAAGATTCAATCTTGTTCGAGAACAAAAGGAAAATACTCAGGTCGTAAGCTTCTCGCCGTACCTAATTCAATCGTCTTTATAAAACAGCAATAGAATGCAGAACGGCTTAAAATTGTAATAAACTATGACATCATTTTCTCAGTATTCTTACTACCTTTTATTAGAATGCGAATGTTGTGTAGAATTAAACTAGACATGATAGTAGGTACATACTCAAACCTTTCATTCAAAAAATCCTTTCATAAATTAAAAATTGAAAATACACTCTATACCAGTAACATATTTTATGCACAGTAAAATTATGTCAGGCAGAATGATAAAATAAATAAGCCAATGCTATAAAGTTTTTATTAAACTTTAACATACGTTAAGTTAAATATGTATGTTAGTTTATGGTCATAAATAGTACGTAATAGCAGGAAGTCAGTAGTTAATTAAGCTAAAATTTACGGTATCATCCTAATTATATTAGTATCGGTTGTATCATTTCCATGTTCTTATTTGGAGAAGTACTCACAGTTGCTCCAAGTGCGGCATGCCTTTGAAGACGTCGGGGTCGATGTGCCTAATGCGGTTACGGTACAGGTAGAGGTACTTGAGCCGCCGGAGACCTTGGAACACGCCAGAGTGCAGCCCTGTGAGCTGGTTGTCGTTCAGCAGCAGGGACCGCAGGCCCCGCAGCGAAGTGAACGTCCCGGGGCTTATATCCAAGATCTTATTAAAACGCACGTCCCTGAAACAAGAGACCAAATCAGCAACAGCCTCCACCCACAACAATAAACCCGGACACTGACGTGACGCGCATTATACTGGGATAAAACCCGGCGGAAACGTATGAGTTACATTATTGGATATGCACCCGCGTCCGATCAATAGAGCTATAAACAATGCGCCTAACGAACGAACTCAATTTCAGATCTGAAAGTAGGTATTTCGTTACCGATATCCTGAATATGGATGGATCGTAATCATTTTACATTCACGTTTCACAATATACGGATCAGCGATACAATTTTTTCAGCACGGCTATTAAAAGATGCCAAATGGAAAATCACATGGGCCAAAATACTAAACCACTAGGTTTTAGCGTTGCACACTAACATATTAAACGGAGAAATTCAACAGGTGAAGAGCTACACAATGGAGTCTCAAATGTCATTCGCTGCATTCATTGTTTGTAAGTCTAAGTAATATCTTCAGCCAAAGTAATAGGCTGAAAACTTAACCAAACTAAATTCCAATAACAGTCCCCAAATTGTATTTGCCAATTCAATAGTGCTCATGAAATCTGAAACTCTTGAAATAATTTATTAAAATAACATATTTCAATCAATGAATAACAAGGTGAAATGGAATAAAAGAGTAGGATTAATTAATGTTATCGAAATGAAAATTAATATGGAAGTTTACTTTCAATTCAAAGTGAATTAATGCTTTCAACTAAAAAGGTAAATGTGATCACGTGTAATAATAATTAAAATGTTCGTTTGGATTACATTACTGAACGTTTTAATAAATTAATTTGTCATTCGTTGTTAAAGACATTCAACGCTATGGTGTAAGTAGGTAAGTAATAAAGTTTAACCAAAACGTGTCGGCGGTAGCACTTCGTCAGTAATCGCCTTATGTAACTAAATCCTAACTCAGTATCGGTTTTTGACGCTGCGGCCAGTTCGTTCGGAACACGATTAAAAGTAATTGAGTTCTGATCGCAGCGGATGCACTCGAGGTTTGCATATTTTGTTTGCTGGTTTACGGAGCCCGGTTTATTAACGGGAGGAACGGACCCGGCAAATCTCGATAAACACAATCTTACTTAGTTGGTACAGGTGCTATTTCGCAACACAAATATAAGTCTGTGCTGATGACTGTACATTGAATAACGATAACTTATACAAAGTTACAGTTAAAGTTAGGTATAGGTGTTCAAACGCGCTGAGGTTTTGCGCGCAGTTTATTCATCCACGTATTTTACACGGTCAATAAAACTATAAGCCTCTACGTCCAGCATTTGACACGCAGGTGTTTCTGTTGCTGATATTTGAAATACCTATCAGACAGTTAAACTTATACGGAAACTATGTACTATTTATTTATGAATCAATTATGATATGTGAAACGTTCAACATTTCTGTTGTTATTTTCAGACTAAAATGCTCGTTACAGTACTTATTATTATTCTGTAGTTCCAGTCAAAACCCATTGTTTGTTTCGCGCATTGTTTCGGGTAACTTTTTACATTTTAGAAGGGTAATTAACCCGTTAGCTCCATAATATTAGATCATGAAATTAATAATAACTTCCACGTCCACAAAGTACCTAGACACAAAGATATAACAATAGTGTGTCAAATTCGACGGTAACTACTAAGATATAATTATTTAAGTAGGAAGTTTGTTTGATCCTAAAAACTTTGTATTTTTAACAGACGTCTGTCACTTGCAGACCGATGTCACTTAGCATTCAATCCACATGAGGGAATGCTGTGAATCTAGGAAATATAAGACAATGCCTATCTTGCACTGTGGCAACTAACGGAGTTGTAAAAATTTTGCAACAAAAATTTGAAGACTGCCTCGCCTGCCTGATGATGAATTCAGCCTGTCAAATTATTTAAAAGCTCGACATTTAAGCTTTAAGCAGCTGTCGCGACTCTTAATCCCGTTTCAGTACTTCATGAATCAGGTAGGAGTAGAGATGAAACGGATATCCGGTAACTATCCGGTAGGCCGGATATCCGGCCTAAATTTACTATCCGGCCGGATACCGGATAGTAACTCACTATCCGGCCGGATACCGGATATTAAAAAACTACGACAATTTCCTATTAATAAAATGAAATACATTAAATCTTTGGGGTAAATAAATATCAATAAAATGGCTTATAATAATGACGGCTTTTATTAAAAGTCCAAAAAGTTACAAAAAAGCCATATTAAGGCCTTTCAAAAAACTAATTTCTTTTTCTGGGCTATTATCTCTAATGACGAATACATAAATGGTAAATATCTGTTAATGTCAAAATATTGCCAAATAAATTTTCGCTATTCAATCACACACTCACGATGGCAACCAAAATCGCCCGAATTAATCTGCCCCCTAGACAAGTGGCAAAATCTGACATTCTATTCGGATGACTTCCCTTTTCGAAAAGTGACTAGTCTAGTCTACTAATGGACCCACTGATCGCGTTCGAAACACCTGTGCGGCGCTAAACTCGTCACGACATGCAACGAGACAATGGGCCAACTATCCGGCCGCCGGATATCCGGCTATCCGGCCTAGCAGCTGGCCGGATATCCGGTATCCGGTATCCGGCCAAACAACTATCCGTTTCATCACTAGGTAGGAGAGATGAATACAAAATCAACTCTATCAATAAGTCTAGTATGTACTAAAAATGAATTTACGCCAAACCTACAGTTTTCGCCAAGTTTGACACATTTTTCAGGCCATTTCAGTGTAACAAAAATAGAGGTAGGAGAACAAAAAGTAAGCAAAAAGAATAAAAGAATATCAAGAGCATAAGTCATTTATTGTATTGTTACCTACCAATTAATTAAATCCTAATATCTTAATGTTGACCGGTATATTTATTTTTAAAAGCGTGTAGTGCACCTTCTTACTTATGCCATTCTTTCGAAGCTGAAGTTTCAGGCTCTTTAATAGGTAATCAAAGAACTTTTGATATCGATTTCATTTCTCGCAAAGTGAACTCACAAACTCTACTTTTTGTCATTTGCTTTGTTGGTTGCTAGTAGAAGTTTGTAATATTTTATTCTGTGGTAGAATGAACTGTCCCGCCAAACTCAATGACAGGGGGGCGCTACCATCGTTCAACTATATGGCTTCCAACATGGCAAAAATCGGAACCAGCGATCCGGTGTTGACGGTGGCGCCCCACTGTCAATGTCATGCATAGGACAGTTCAGTATTTTGGAACTATACAATATTTGAAGAGTTCAATAAAAAATACTTAATGTTTCATTTTGTATTCAAACCCGCGTCTACTGGATTTAAGAGAGTTCATTATTTTCAATATGTACTTTTATAATAGATCAAAGCAATTTTATTGAAATAATCCATTCACGTTGCATAATCTCGCATCAGTTCCATTCCGAAAATAATTTAATTGTTAAATTGAGGTGGTATACGCCTATTAATAACGCGAATTTTCAATAAATGTTACTTATTTTAACAGATAAAATATTGTTAATGCCCATGATTACTACAATATACTGTACATAACCTACATATTATGTAGTTAAGAATATAATTAGCAAACTGACAACCAAAGAAAACTATTTATTTATGTCGTAATGTGGATCAATATTTATTAAAAAAATACTCTTAACTGAACAATTTCAATTATGAAAGCTACAAAGTTATTTCTTCAAATATTTTTTTGTAAACTTAAAGGAATTTAGGCAAGTTAAAAAAAATTTACATTCCAATAAGATGCTTTCATGAAAATTACGAGTGGTATAATTGAGTCAATAAAATCACCCTATTTTAAAATACTTTCAAAAGATTTTTAATGTTAAAAGCAGAACTATACTTATGTATAAGAGTGCCGGGATAAAAGCACTGGGTATCACTGAAAAATTAATAAAATAGAAGCTTTTTTCTGACATAAGGCGATTACTATCGCGAGAATACCGCCATCACGTCCGTCTCTATGTTAAAATAGTCCGCATGCTCGTACCCACAGACAATCGTTCTTTTGCATTCGATGTTTCACATGCTTTTACTACCTGTGTAGTGTGTACTGTATCATATTGTCGTCCTGCTTACCTGCTTATTTCATTTTATTAGATAGGTAAGTATATAAAGTAAATAGTGGACCGCGATTGATATCGTAAAGCTGATTCGTACTAACATCATCAGCCAAAATTCATACAAATTGTTATTATCAATGAAAATTATTTGGAAATCATTAACAATTTGAAAGTTATTCTACAAATTTCAAAAAATCACCTAAAAGTAACCTTTTCATTAGTGTAACCTAAAAGTAACCAATGCAGTTCAAAAATCACCTAAAAGGTTACAAAAGTAACCTTCTGGCAACACTGCGTGTCGGACTCACGCACAAAGGGTTCCGTACCATTTAGTCGGCCGTTTGGTGTAGTGGTTCAGAGCGGACTACTATGCCGAGAGGTCCCGGGTTCGATTCCCGGCCGGGCAGATATTGAAATGATGAATTTTAATTTCTGTGACGGGTCTGGGTGTTACCATGTATAATATGTATGTATTTAAAAAAAAAAAAAGTATATAAGTAGTATATCCGTTAAGCTAAGCACCCATAACACAAGCATTAAGTTGCTTACTTTGGGGCTAGCTGGCGCTGTGTGAAATTGTCCAAAGATTTTTTTTTTTATTTTATTGATTTATTAAATTAAAATTATTTTTTTTTAATTTAAGCTATTTGTATGAAAGATTACGCGGTAATAAGCGGTTTACGATTTACGAGGTATTAAAAAAAACTACTTACTAGATCCCGTTTAAAACAATTTTCGTTGGTAGTTTTTATAGTAATGTACATCATATGTTTTTTTAGATTTCATTTTCTTATTTTAGAAGTTAGAGGGGGGGGGGGGGGTAAAAAAAAACTACTTACTAGATCTCGTTCAAAACAATTTTCGTTGGTAGTTTTTATAGTAATGTACATCATATGTTTTTTTAGATTTTTCATTTTCTTATTTTAGAAGTTAGAGGGGGGGGGGGGGGCAACTT